GGCCCCCCCCCCCCCCCCCCCCCGTGAACTGCAGTGATCTGACCAGAGAAGAGACCCTGTACATAATTAGACATATATAGTGTGAATAAAGATCTAGATAGTACTCACATGGACACTAGGTCTGTAACCTGCTGATGGAGCTGCTGGACTTCACCCCATTTGGCCTGAGTACCATGTGTACAAGGAGCCTGGGACCGAGTCGGAACGTCATTGAGCTATATGAATTAACATACCTATCAGGCAAGATCAACACGAGGCACATAGAAACGCACCTGATATAGACCACATTTGTGCTGCCGGTTGGACTCAAAGTGGGAAACATAAGGCTGACTCAAAGGTGGTGGCTGTGAGTTCTCCGGATCATTGGAGTAGTGGTTGTTCTTGAGGAATTTTTGATAGTTGTAAGACATATGGAGGTCTTGTGGGATGGATGCGTTGAAGGTTCGATTTTTGGTGGACAAGCAAAAGAGGTAGATGACGCGGATGCATAGATTAAAGATCTAATCAAGATTTCCCACAATCCAAATAGACTTAATCAAGGTGCATGGACTTAGCACTTTTCTCATCTAGCTTATATCGTTCCTCAACATCAATTACCCCGCATACAATCCAAAATGTCTGCCTCAAACTCCAGCAACACCAAATACATTTACTGTTTCAATGAAAACATGTCAACCAATTGCCACACCAAATATCAGTCCAGCACACACCTCGTTGGCAACATCATCTTGACGGATGTCAACTGTAACCTCAGTAATAATTTCAGCTTTTGTTTCACTCCAACATCGCTTAGTCCTATGGTACGTATATATCAAACAACTGTCACTTGTCATACTAATTTTTACAGATTCTTGGTATCCATCTGCAAAACAATACAGCGCTGAACCACCCCCCCACATTGACATCCGTTGTTTTGGATGACGTGCCCCACCCCAACGTGCCGCTTGGGGAGAACCTTCTTGCTCTTACTGGCCTTACCCATGGTGATGTTTCCACTTCCAACCCGCTCTCTGGCTTCCACCCTCCCTCTTCCCCAACCCCAGCTCCTCAAGACAATGAGGAAGAAGTCCCCAAGGACCTTCCCAGCCTTATCCCCATCGAAGAAACGGCCAATGGCGCGTACCCCTTTCTGCCTGGCATGTTCGATAGGATCAGTTTTTGCCTCCAAAGACCCTTTGTCAATGTCACCTTTGCCGAGACATCCAAGGCTTTTATTCATGCACAGCACAATCACCCCACCCACCCGCGCGACTACAACAATATTCCCCACAGGTACATCATTCACGGTCACTACAACCGTCACAATAACCCTCCTCCCTGTATTATCACTAGGATGTACACCATCAAAGAATTGGAGCCTGTCACACGCCAGCTCAATGAAGACTCTATCCTCAATGCCCTTGCGGTTCCCAAGCCTCAAGATCTTCCTAGGCCCACTCTCATGGAAACTCTGAATGCTGCGAGCACTTGCACGGTACGCATATATTCATGTTTTTTATTTCCTCTGTATCTAATAGATCCTTTACAGTGCGAGCGTGATCAGTCTCCTGACGTCAAGCCCGAGCCGTTCAACAATACTACCATGGTTGTTGAAGACCATGAAGCCCTCTCCAAAAAATCCTCTAGCCCCAATCGTGTTTGGCTGGGCAACCCCCACCCCTACAGCTTGCCGAACATGTCCAGTCCTGTCCCTGTGGATGTTTCCTTGCCCATCCTGGGCATCTCACATATTTCTGGGTTGCCTGACCCACATGGCAACATGGACGGCTTAATCATGGAGCCGGAGACTTGTTCAATGACTGAGCTGTACGCTGGCAAGCACAAGGCAAGTGAGATGAGCAATTGCAACAATGAATCGGACGAGAGAATTGCGCGAAGAGGTTTGCTCGATCGGCGTAGGTTTGCAATGGATATTAAAATTACTATAGCTTTACTTTTGTACAACTATAGACCACCTGTCTTTTGTACTATATACTAGTGTTATGTCAAATGTCCTTACAGTGTATTCTCTGTGTGATGCCTTGTAGTATGTACAGAAATTTGATGTGCTACATGCTATCAATGTCTGATTCTTCCAGAGCAACTCCATTTCCTGTCAACAATGCAATATCTAAACCAGGCTGCTCTATCATGTAAAATAAAGGAACATCATGTGCAGGGAATCTGTGTAAGACCATCACAACAACTGACTTGATGTCCATGATCTCAATCACACGCAAGTCAGCATTGAAACTCCATACATGCATGCAATCTGAGCCAAAGCAGAAAGGTATGCACAGAATACGATTGTCAGAGAACCCGATGAATATACTTGGTTTGGTGATACCACTTTCTTTTTGCATTTCTTCATACTCAGCCATTGTGCAACAGCAACTGAGGCAATGTACATTGGCGTGATAATTGTCTGAGCCAGCTGGCAATAGGTTATTAATGTCAAAGTCCTCGTGCATTGATCCTTGAACACAGTTAGGGAAATTAGGACAATGCAGAGCGGGATAGTAATGACCTGAGTGCTGTGTGTCGACCCTAAAACCACTGCCAGACTGCATAAAAGAGCCATCCCGGGGTCATCTGCAGTACCAATAAAAAAGAATGGATGAGAGGTATACTCAATGTCTGTACTGACATCCCAGATACCGAGACCATCACACTGGATAGTGGCAAGATGGTGAAACCCTGGAAAAGGAAATGAGTCAAGATTCTTCAGTTTGCGAGGTCCTGGTATAACTGCGCCCAGTAGTATGTATTTCTTCTTGTATCTGGAGTCCGGAGCGTGATCAAAAAAGACCCATATGTAAATCCAACAGTCAGATTGCTTGCATTTGTAAAGCTGAGCCCCGTCAATCAAAAACATGAGAACGGGGTCTCCAGGACAAATATGTCCATCACAAACGGCTTGAATATATTGATCCCCATTGAACATGTCTTCGTACACATCGATTTGCTGCCCCATTTGTGTATACAATACAATACGCCCTTCACGCCACAATACGTAGACCCCAATTGATTTATTCACACGTGACTTGTTCACGTCCTTATCTTCGCTCGCTTTTCTCTTTCCTACCTCAGTTGTTTCTCTGTTCTCTCAACTGTTGTATGTTTGTTCTCATTGCTACACTTCAATTGTTGCTTATCATGTACCCTAGCCTACTTTGTATCAGGTACATTCTAATCAAGTTGTTTCTCTGTTCTCTCGCCTGAGCCTACTTTGTATCAGTTCCAACATCCTGTTGGTCTTTGTTTCTCGGTATCACATGTGTTGGGCCTGGCCGGTATTTCTGTAGAGTGCCTGTAGCTGTGGGCCAATTGGAAGTGTGACAAATGTCAGCTGAGGTATGTTTTTCTTTGCAACACAAGACCACTTCACATCATAACGAGGTTCATAGCACCAAAGACATGCGGTGAGCTCAGTGTTATGGCCTGTGAACACCATACATGTATTGAGACACATGTCTGAGCGTAGTGGCTTGACGCCACTGAGTTCTTTGACCTTTCTCTTGATGGAATATGGACTGTAGACCTCTGTGTTCAGATGGCATCGCTTGATTGCATCGCAAACGGACTTATACACACTCTCTGAGATGTTGCAGAAGAATAGCTCCATACAGAGCTGAATATCTGGATCCCCAAGGTCTTCAGGTTTGTGCAAGGGGTGTTTCAAGCGGTATCTGGTTTCATCTGAAAGCATGCGGCTATATTGATCATCTAGCGACACTGATCAAAGTATATTGATGTACAAAAGGGTGTTAATAAGATCAGAGAGATGAGTGAGCCTCCATAAATCTTCCAGTTTGTCTTCTGTCCACCCCATAGTACCATGTTCACCTCCGGATGATTCTGGGCCTGGTCCACCACCAAAGAGATTTGCGAGGCGGTTGAGGACTTCTTCAGGTAGCTCTTGTTCTTCTTCCAGCTCTTCAGACCCCTGACAAGATATACGTGGACATTCCTTGTCCCTTTCATTCTAGAGGCGTGAGCTGGCAAAGCTAGGAATGGTAGTGCGAGGACATACCGCTCCAAGTTCATCGCCATTCTCTGTCCCGCCCTCTGCTCCATTGCGATGCTGAGGAGATAGGATGAAAGATTAGTGTAAATCAAGAGTAAGACAAAATTTAGGGTGCACCTGTAGAGACTCCAATACCAACTCTCTGTTATCTCTTCGTGTATCCCCTTCATCCTGCACTTCCTCTACTGTTGCTCGCCTTCAACTGTTTGAAGTGCTGATCCTGCGAAGGGTCTTGTCCTGGCCCTCCTTGTTCAATATACAGTGATTGCTGCTGGATGCTTTGGGGATATCATTCATGAAGAGCAGCTTGTTGCGCTCCAAGCGTGGTTTGGTGATGTTCTTTGTGAGCATTGTGTGTATCCTTGTGAGCATTGTGTGTATTCTTGTGAGCTTGTTTTGGCGGCCCTTTGGGTAGGGGAGAACAGACACAGCAAGGACAGAAGTAGTCCCACTTGTGCTGCTCCTCGTTCCAGTGGATCCCAGGCTGTACCATCGTTGACTGAGTTGGATGTACAGAGGTATAGGCACACTAGCATAGCTAGGGGGACTTGGATAAATTGGGCAATACATCTAAGTCTGCCGACCAAGGCCTCAATTTGGGCTGGTTTAATTTTGGAGCTAAGATGCCAAGAAGCCTCATTAGCTCAAACGCAGGCCTAGGCAGCAACTGTGGGCTCACATCAATTCTTTTATTAGATAGAAGTCTATTTTAAAGTACAAGGTCGCCCTCAGGGGCCATTGTTTCATCTCTCCTCTTTGGCCTGGACCCCCAGTATAGCACGTCAACAGTAGTGTACCGCATGTCTACCATAGGGCGAGGCTCTGCAAGACTAATAAACCTTTGATTTAAAAATAAAAAATAAAAATAAAAAATTACAAGGGTCAGCCGTAAAAGATGGTAATCTACCGAGAACCCCCGACTTTTCACTGGGGGTTAGCCATGGTGGGTGCATGTGTCAGCATGCGCATTGGCTATTGGTTCAGCCAGGGGCACTGTTGCATCGCATTATGGACCAAGGATCCCCTGTCATTTTGGGTGCGGGGAGAGCCAATTTATTCACTGGGGCGTTACTATGGGTGAACACAGTTTGGCTGACCCGTGCATAGGCTGGAGAGAGAATGAAGCAAGGGCTGACAGATAGTCTGCTCAAGGAGGTACAAGCAGTAGCAACATGCACTAGACATGTAGGTCAGAACTCAGTTGTTGCGTAGGCAAGATGAACACTGTACATTACCTAGACACGTAGGTCAGAACTACAGAAGGAATATAAGTACATGTCTATAATCAACGGGTACAAAAAGAGGCTCACCTCAGTCATTGTGTAGGCAAGACAAAAATTGAGGTGAATGTAGCTACTCATCTAGTATAAGTGGAATCTGGGTGCTGTCATGTAACATACAAATCAGGAATGCTACGTAATGAAGTAGGGGTATACCATATGGAAAGGAATGATGGGGAACACAGTAGAACAAAATGGAATGAATGTGCATGATATAAAATGACCATCTGTCAGGGAAACTGGGGTATATGTCAAGGTAACCAGCCTGACTCAGTGCCAGCGCCACAATGCCAGCGCTACAGCTGTCTCGGCATCAACTGCCAACTTCTCACTCATACCTTAATGTGCACTCTCAAATTGGCCTCAGCAAGCACAATGCCTTGCCGATTCCAACACTGCCTTGCACAGAGCAGATGTCCACCTAGCGCTTGCCAGTGTGTATCCTTCCAAGCCACAGCAACAAGGCCACTGAGGGCAGCCATTGATGCGGACTGGGGCACCAGCACCTGCTGCTGGAAGAGCATGGTGAAAAGAAAGAGAAACAGAGGAACTGTGGAGCCAACACACAACATATTGGAGTTTGAAACAAGTTGCTGTATTTGGCAGCACAAAGGAGCTGTGACGAAGGGACAGAAGCAGGCATAACCGGAGAGCAGACGGTGAATAATTACAGAAGGAGGACGGAGAGAGTGGTCCGCTAAAAACAGCACCCTTTTTACCAAGAATGGAAAGAACTGATGAATTATACCTAGGGGTTATACTTTGTCCCCAGGAATTTCCAGTACCTTCATTTCCTCCATTTCACCTCAGGATTATTCCCACCCATCTCCATCCCTTCATTAACATTTTCCAGACTAGTGGAGCATAGCTGAAGCACCCTGGTTCTCCCTGGGCAGACACATTGGTGACACTCATGCTTTTCCCCCCAAAGAGGATGACTTTGGTGATGATTTGTGCCAGGAGCCCAGCAATCTCACAGACTGCATTTTTGACTCTGGCTCCACCATGGGTGCAGAGTGCTGATGCTGGCCCAGGATTGGTGACTAACATTAATGTGGACCTCAACATTGTTGAGGTGCTACAAACTGGAAATTGTGGCCATGCAAAGTGGTGAAAAATACCAAACAAGAAATACAACAACTTTTCAGGTCATGGGTGTACTCATACATTTCAAACAAATTTCACTTTTTTCTTGTATTCTACCAACTGTCTCATATTTAAGTTACCAGAGGTCTCAACAGGTGGTATCAGTGTTTGGAATGCCAGTGGCATGCCACTGGATGCCACAATTCAGCCAATGGCAGATGGTGCTCGCGCATTTGTCCATCAGTATTAGTCAGCATAGATACAAGTTTTGATTGGCTGTCTATATTTACATTACATTCAAATTACATTGCCGATTCAAGCATGTCATCAACCCACTTGTCATCTTCGTGAACTTCCTGATGCCCCGCTAGCTCATAGAACTCCTGTTCCTCATCAAGGCCCTTCTCCCCTAAGCTCTCTGCTACGGTGTCCCACCCCCATTTGATGTAGTTGAACAACTCCCTAAGAGTTACCTTGCTAGCCTCTGGAGTGAACTGTGTATTTGTAGGGTGTGTCTTCATCATCCTTGAGTCGCTCCTCAAGTACGCGAGCAATTGATGCAAGTGAGTTGTCGGGATCTGGGATGGGTGATTCTTGCTCTGTGGATGGCCCAGGAGCGGGCTCTTTGATATCTAAGTTGTCCTCACTGGTGGGTGGCTCCAAAGGTTCTTCAACATCAATAATCTTCCTCTTGCGTCGAAGACGCTCGGTGGGCTTGCCGCTGCGTGTATACTCATCACGCATATGGAGTCAGAGTTCAGCCTGGTTAAGCATATTTTTGAGACCAAGACGAGAGCGTAGCTTTGTGAGGATGGCCCCGAATATGCTGAACAAGCGCTCGCAGAACGCTGAGTTCGCGCAGATTGCGAACACAAGATATGCAAGCCTTTGCACAGGTGGCAAATCCTGGCTTTTCCACAAGATCCCCTCATACTTGTGATAGGATCAGGCCGTGTACCCTATAAAACTGTTAGAAAAATAAAATAAAACAAACAGGAACTCACCTCCGAAAGCGCAGAGTGCTTTAGGCCAGCTGCCCATTCAGTGAGCAATGCGTAGACGCTGGTGCCGTTCAAGTACTTGCTCAAGTCCTTGAACAAGACAGCTTGGGAAACCTGTACACCAAAAAAGCACAAGTAAAGCCGTGTGAAGAGAGAATAAATGCCTGCAGGAAGAGAATAAGAGCTGTTTGGAGAGAATGGCGATAACTTGTAAAGGGGGCTCAGGATGAGTGCTGCGATAAAAACATCCTGGTCACTCTTGCTCCACCACTTCTCAAGGCTTGCTAGGATAGCTCCAATGAGAGAAATCTCCTCGATGTTGGTGGCCTTAGAGCACATGCGGGAGTAAGTTCCAAATAGGTAGCCAAATATAAGAAGAACCTCATCAACACGGCAATGAGCTGCCTGCGCAAAGTTGGTAGCATGAGTGAGAGGAGCCATCTGCTCAACTGTTCTAGACACATATTAAGCTGAGAATACACCAAATAAATAGCGACTCACTTGTCCAAAACTCTCCACAGCTCTGGGTCGTCAATTAGCATTAGCATCTCCCATGCTTTCTGCTTCGCAGCACGATCTCCACAGATAATGTCCTTGGGATCCCTGTCACAGAGATAACTCAAGGGTTTTCTGAGATGAACAAGACGACGGAAAGCAAGGAAATGTGCAGTCCAATGGGTTGAAACAGCTCGAAGAACAGACAATATCTGCTCCGGTGCAGTGCCTCGAGTCTTGTTCAGGTTTTCTTGGATGTCGCGAAGAATTGCCAGGATCTGTGTATGGCCCCGGAGCCATCCAATAAGCTCCATCGCCTTCTTGGTATACTCTGCATAGCGGGGAGCATTCTTCACCTTGAGATAGTCTCCGACAACAAGATTAATCTAATCAAATGTGAGTAAATGGTTATTAATAAGGTTAAGTCATACCTGATGCGCATTACAGTCAGGTGCAACCAGAGAGGGGAATTGCTCAACAAGCTGCTTCCGTGTGGCTCTCAACTCTCCAGAAGCGTCAGAAGTAACAGCGACAACATCTACATTCCAATTAGCCTCGACGTCACATCTCACCTCGACAATGAGGTTCTTGAGATGTGCTGCGGTGCGATTCTCAGATGAGATATCCTCCACTCGCACGGTGTAGACCTGAGCAAAGAATTAACAATAATGTAAGTTATGTATACATAAATGCACTGAAAACTCACCTGACGTGATGATGTTGTCATCATAAATGCTGCCAAGTGATGGAAGTTGATACCCGTCCACCCATCCGTCTGCAATGTCACCCGGTCCCCCCGAACCTTCTCCTTGGCTGCACTAGTGTAGTGCTCCAGCTGCTGAGGAATGTACTGATGTGTCAGCTGGTAGCTAGAAACTGAGCTGGCAGAAGGAAAATATTCCTCGAAAAATGCCTGAACTGAGTGATTCTCAATCCAGTTAGCAGGAAAATCACAGGATGCGGTAATGTGTGTCAGATGTCCACCAAGATGGTCCTGGTCAGTCGACATCCAAGCACTAAACCCTGCAACGCCCAACGTGCGTGATATCATCCATGCACGCTTTGACGGCGGTCGTCCGTCACCAGAGATTGAGCTAATCGCAGATATAGGGGAGGGTGCGACACTTGGGAAAGGGGAGGAAGGGGGATATGGAAGCTGATGAAGTCCAGACAGAGAAGGATTGGGTGATGGCGCATACATCAGAGAGCCAGTGGGCAAAGTACCCATAGGCGGAGTAAATGATGGCATATGCACACCAGGAATGCCAAGCATCATAGAACCAGAGGCTGTAGAAGCAGGAGGCATGCTGTTATAAGGGGGGGAATGCTTGCCCTTCACCTTCTGTGATTCTGCAAAGATGCGGACCTCCAAGGGCTGATGAGAGCATTGCATGAGGTGACCAAGCCACTGCTCCGCCCATCCCATCAGCCAAGGCTTCCCCGTTGTCAACAGGGGGCTATCAGTGTCAGAGTACCAGGCCCATACTTGTGTATAACTGTATCAGAAAGAATATGCGAGACCAGGGGTATTACTCACACATCTGAGTAGTACTCTCTACACTCCTGGGTACATCCCCTCTAGACAATTCCTCCTGCTGCTCCTTCAAGATGTGGTTGTTCTGGCATTTACTGCACATAGACTTTGTCCTCTGGTTCGTAATTTTCGCAGTGGGATTAGCTAGTGAAGCTATAGTCCTGTCTTTGGCATCAGGATGCTCAATAAAGTATGATCTGTACCAGGAAGCCATGGAACTGGATTTTATTTGTGAAGACAGACAGGATGGAGGGTAGCAAAGTGTTCAAGAAGCGACTAGTCTACCCGAGTTCTCTAGATACCATCGGTTCCCTGCCCCGAACCACTCTCGAGGCCAGTCATGGACGAAAAAGCCACCAGATAGCATAAATAACTGTCCCTACTCGAGTCAGGGGCTAGACTTTCGCTCCGACTTGCTGCGTCACACGACCTGCCATATTAGGAAACTGCAACACGCTGGCCGCCAGCTGCCAATGGCATGCCACGGAATGGCAGGCCAGCCCCACCATTCCGCCATCGAACTTCAATCACTGGGTGGTATTGTTCCACAATCTAAGGTCTGTCACCTGTTCCATGTCCCATAGGACAAGAACTTGGTAGTCAATATTATACAGTACTACAAACACACCCTCAGAACACCCCCAGGCCATTGATAGCAGACTTTTGGAGGTCAGCAAGTGGAGGAGTAAGAGGACAATAAAACAAGTGGATTGATATTGTACTTTTTTGACCTCATGTTTGTGGTGGTGTGAGAATTCAGACTTTGAATACAGTTTCCTTAACCATTTGTCCACCCCTGTAAGTTTGGAGGGCCAACCTGAAGGTGGACAGGGTTTGTGTTGAGGCATTGCATTGACAACTTCAACACTGATTGAAAATTTTACCCTGAAGTGACATTGCCAGGCATTTTTCCTACATTCCTGGCACCAGCATTCTCAGAAATGTCCCTGACATTGATACAAAGGAAATCAATCTTGAGCTAGTTGTTGGTACACACACTCGAGCCACCACATATATTCCTGAAGCCTTGGTCCCACTGCATGTTCTGTGCTCAATGGCACCATGCTGGTCAAAGCACTCAATGCATATGATTTCAGCATGTCTCTGCTGATATTGCTTACTTACCCCATATTTCCATCTTTTCTGGGTCAACAAGGCCATTCCAATTGTATTGATCAAGGTGCTGTTTTCTGTCATGGCCCCAGCATGGACAAGCCAATATTTTTTACAGGCCACTGCAGGTGTTTTGATAGAGGAAACATGCTATGTAATTAGTCAAAGGGTCTGTCAAACACATCAGTAGGTTTTTCAGGTTATCAAAATACTATGTAGCATTCTTTGGATTTTCTATCAATTTAGTCAGATTTTTGGCTTGTTTTACAGTATGTTCCTCCACAATAGGTTCAGTTTGTGGGGAGGGGGGGACAGACCAAACCTAAGGTCAAAAAAGTACAGTAACACAAGGAATAAACCATGGATATCAAGTACATACAGGGGCTGATGTATTGTATAGTTAGACAGAATCTTGCAATGTAACCACATGCCAGCACCTTATGCATATCACTTACAACACAGACCACCTACAAAGCATCACCGGAGTTTCGACCTCCAAAGTAGCTGCTAGTAAGTGAATTCATTACAAGAGTCCATTAGCCCCATTTCTATCACAAGCTATGTAGTAGCTCCTTCGGCAATCCATACATTACAAACTAGGCGCGCGGACCTTCGTTTGTATAATAGCAGCGAACTAGCAATTACATAAACCTAAATTAGGATGTCCACATTTAGAAGCAATAGCCCCTGTAACATCCTTGTTTCTCGTCAGTCATCTTGAAGCAAGCATCGGCCTTGTACACCTCGAGAACATGCCACGCGCACCCGAGAAGGCATCCTGCAAGTGTTCGTGTATATTCTATGGTTGTGGAAGTAGTCCTACGGGATGGAAACCGCAAAAACCGAGAACATTCCGACAACATCAAGAGCAAGATGACCTACAACGCGCTCTGGAGGCGACACAACGAGGAGGTGAACAACGAGGCGAACCATCCTCCAAGAGGCCGAGCCTCAGCGAATTCGGTGACGATATCCAGGAAGACGCTCACCTCGATGAACGCGCTGCAGGCTCGGGACGAGATGCGGTTACTAGAAGTGAAGCAGACGAGTTTCAGGTGCGTGTTGATCAGCAAACGCTACATGATAGCACACTTACCTATCATGAAGAACCAACGTGAGTTGGAACACGATCAAGACATAGAGATGGTGGAAACGCACGAGGACGTTCAGATCAGAGTCATGGCAATGCAGGTGAGTAAATCGACTGGAGGAAGATGACTGAGTTCATGGGATTACAGGAAGACGCGCTAGTTGAGCAGCGCAGTCTATTTGATGGGCATCACCATCCAACACTTGACAATCTTGACAATGGCAACATGAGCGATGATGATTATTTCTTCACACGTCTCAGGCATGCATTCACTCCCCCTCCACCAGAGGAGATTGGAGAGCAAGAGGAGGAGGAGGTGGTGGTGGAGGAAGCTGTACTGGAACCAGAGGATGAGCAGCCCGTGCTCGACGAAATTCTACACGTCCCTCTTGGTGATGTATTCAACTTCTCAGATGTGCACGAACAAGACTACTATCATGATCAACTTCCCCAAGCCTTCGAAGATCACTCCATCATTCGGAATGTGTATATACGCGTCTTTGTTCTCGTCGTTGTCCATGGTGTCTCGCATAGTGCAGCTCAATGCACTCTCGATGGATTACGTCTCACTATCACACAGGCTGCCAACAAGCACCCCGAAGATGATTACCCCGGACTTAGCAACTTTGCTCGAATGGTGCCCACTGTCCTGAAACGTCTAGGCCTCTCGATGGACCACTTCATCATATACTTAACCGTGTGTGACGTGTGCTGGGCAGTACACCATCCATCTACCATATCAGACCTTCCCTCGCCTTCCTGCACGTCCAAAAACTGCACAGGCACTATCTATAAGGAAAAGCGACTTGCAAACGGTGACATCAAAAGAACGCCCGTCAAAATCGTACCTTACGTTCCCCTCGAGCGTGCCATTCAGCGGTTCCTGCTCCGGCCTGGTAAATGGGAGCAGCTGCAGCACTGGAGAGGTAGAGGAGACGAGGCAGGACCGGTTCCACCTAACTATGAATCTGGATTTGACGCATTTGCCAACCCCTCAAAGCCCATGACCGACATTTATGACGGGTGGGGATGGAGAGCTATCCAGGCGGAAGGGAGGAGAATTCGGCATTCACGATGTAGACGTTCAAGAACTCAACCAGAGGTTCGTCTCATTGCCCTGCGGATTAGTTCTCCAGTTTAACATTGACTGGTAAGCCTGCTTTATTGCAACCTAATACTGGACTACATTGAGAACATATGCAGGTTCCAGTCCACCACACGCGACTGTCACTCCACCGGCGCTTTTTACGTTGTTATTTGCAACAACCCCCGATCCATACGATACGCTGCGGAAGAGACGATTCTCGCCATGGTTCTACCAGGTCCTCACGAGCCAAATCTACAGCAACTTAACAACCTCATGGATGTATTTGTCAACAGTGCTATGAGACTTGGACAAGGTGTCGAATTCAAGGTGTACGACCACAACGAGCTCGAACTGGTACATACCCATCTTTCCATGAACTGCTCCAATCTCCCATCGAGCCGACGTACGAACGGTTATCAAGGCCACGCGTCAAAACTTTTCATGTGCCCACAATGTTGTGCAACGTACTTCTCCCTTGTACACCCTTCCTGCTTCGATCCCACCCAATTCGAACCTCGGGAGGACTGGCGACACATCAAGTACGCCTTCCGTGCTCGCGACGCAAACGAACACAATGCTCAGGTGATCCGGGAGCATCGAGGAGTGTCATGGACCCCCCTCAACTACCTCCCAGGGTGGATGCCTGCAGGAAGTGCAGGCATCGACTTCATGCACTGTGTATTCCTAAGTGAGCCCCACTCTTCATGAAACGATTCAAATGGAGCGCTTACGACTTGAAGCCATGGTCAAACATGTGACCAAGGTTATCATACACGGTCACGGACTGCTCAATTCCACGCAGGAGACTGATCCCATCCAACTTCTTGAAAAGTTTTATCACGACCTACATTGGCCACCTGAAGTTACGAGACTCCCTCCTTCGGCAAGTTGACCACAAATTCACACTCACATTCACACTGATACGATCGAACAGATGTCATACGGCAAAGGTTCGGTCAAAGCGGACCAGTGGAGGAATCTAATACATGTCCTTTTCGTTGGTCTGTTTGTTGCCTGGGAGCAACACGGCGAGATCCCTGATGCCAATGCCCCACCATCTGCAGCTAACACAAAAATTGCCAAAGCTCAAGCCAAGTACACGACAGCCACAAGAACTTGTTTACGTGAATTCACCCTTGCTCAAAACCCTCTGACTCCCCCCGAAGTCCTCGATCAGCTATCTAATGTGCAACCGGATCGAAACCTTTGACGACACTACGATGCCCTACTTGAGTTCACTGTCGCTATCCGAATACTCGCCACTCGTGAGATCTCCCCTATGGATGTAAAACGAGGATCTGCAGCACTTGCGCGAGCGACGCAGACATGGGTGTCAATGCATCTACCCCTCACACCTTATTTTCACTTTGGACAGCATCTTGAAGAGCAGATATACAAGCATGGACCCATCTACGGCCACTGGACTTTCCCCTACAAACAGCTCAACGGCAAGCTCCTCTGATTCAAGCACAATCATCACAAGGGTGGTGAATTAGAAGGCACGCTGATGCGTCGGTGGTGGGCTGTGACATTCAACTATGAATTGGTAAGTCGTACGTATTGCTACTCTTCAGGCGATGATTCTAATCTCCATCGCAGATCCTACAGCTGGAGGATCTGCCAGATCGCTCACCCGAGGATGACGACTCTATCCAGCTTCTCACTCAGAGTCTGCAAGTCCAGCGGAACAGAAACGGCAAACGGAAGCAGCCAAATGACGACGTTGATGGACTCGTATTGTCGTCCTTCCCGAAGAAAGAAAACCTTTCCAAACTCGATCCCTCTCTCTATGACATTGTCTACCTCTATCTCCGGAAGGTATGGGAATATGAGGCTGATATTCACCCTTTCACAGACCTCAGTGGCGATGGGGTGGTGTTTGACGGTCGAGTACTCTCGTATCCCCACATTTGGCTTCACTCCTTGCGCTACGGAGCTTCTAGTCACTTTCGTGGCCAGTCTGGGCAGTACGCGTATGTCAATCAACGTCAGCCAGTCCAAATACATCACTTGCTTCGCGCGGAGATTCAACGGAGGTACCGACATCCTTTGATTGCAGTGTTTGCTGTTGTATGCCGTTTCCTTCCAGCGGACGGACGGATACAACTACCTTGGGCACTATGGTGAGTCTGTGTGTTGCAATTATGACGTGCTCATATTGGTGTCAGGTCTAGTGACCTTGGAGTGGCTGCATGGCAAGCCGACAGACTCGCCCCTCCGGAAGTTGTTAGCATATCTTCCCTATCGGGTCACCTTGTACTCGCACCGATCAAGACTGGACGTCACAGGCTATGGATCACTGTAGCCTATGACCATCACAGTCCCGAAGCTGACTTTTCCTCCCAGTAATGCAGACAAGACACCGCCAGCGGGGCCATACAAATTGAGGTGAGCGTTCTACACTACCTACGTGTCCGTGCAGAAGCACTGATATCTAGTCAAGTCCTTGTCGTCCAGGAACGGCACTTTGTCTTTCGACTCACTCAGCCTTGGTCTCGTTGCCGATGCCATTGTGTTCTTCTTCGTCGTACATCTCTTCGCCTTCGTCCTCGCCTTCTTGCTCGTCCTCATCCTCATCCTGCTGCTCCTGCTCGCCCTCGCCCTCATCCTCATCCTCATCCTGCTGCTCCTGCTCGCCCTCACCCTCGCCCTCACCCTCGTCATCTTCTTCACCTTGATATTCCTCCTGATCCTCCTCGTCATACTGTTCCTGGGCGTACAACTCGTTCTCATCGCCATCCTCTACATCCTCGTAAGCGCCCCAGTCATCGTTGTTGGCCACACCTGGAGCGTTTTCAAGGGTATCCGTCTCCTCAAACGGATCGCCTTGCTCCCAGAAGGCAGGGCACTCATTTTTAGTCCAATTGATCCTTGTATCGGTCGGTAAAAGCTCGTTGTTGTCGATGTACGTTTGGGATAGAGCCCAAGCTGGGATCTTCTTACCGCTGGGAAGACGTGGGAGCTCGACATTACGTGGCTGTCCACGAAGTCGATGCTGCGGAGCAATTCCTTTTCTTTTAGAGGATTTACCAAGGCGACTCGCCTTGATCTTGAGCGCTATCAACGCCTGAGACTCCCACGTTGCCCTCCGAACCTTCAACGGATCCTCTGCTTTGTATTGCTGACGCTTCACTTTAACCGGTCCTTCATCGCCACTATCGATAACGCGCTTGTTCCCATTCTGGTTCCGCACAGTAGGCGGGCTGCTAGGTGCGTTGCTTTCCTCTTCACTGTGGATTTGAACGCTTGCTAAGATGTCGAAGTCTGATTTCATTAGGATGGCGGAATATTTGCGGCCATTGTTCCGTTTCGTGCGTTTCTGCCATTTGCGACCTCCTCGCCGACTTTCCTGTGTTCGCAGCCACTCCTCTTGCTCGTCCACCTGACCCTCGGCAACCCCTTCTTTCCGCTTAGCCATGTATGAGTTCTTCCAGTTTCGGAACGAACACCCCAACTTCTTCGTGTAATCACTTTTGGACTTGCCGGCCAATGTATCCTTGCCTCCGTTGACATGTTGCCAGAGGTTCTCATTGATGTAGTCGATCATCTTGGTGTGCCACGACTTGTTGGCGGTGAATGACTTGGTGAAATTCGGAACGATTCGACTGTCTTTCTTGAACTCGCCGTTGGGTAATGGCACATTCGTGTGGATTTCTGTGCCCTCATTGAGACCGAGCTTCTTGAGGAAGCATTTTCTGATGCTGTTCTAAGGACATGTTTGAGACTTTTCACGGGATTATGACATGGAATAACTCACCATCAGTTCGTTTTCAGATCCTTCTGCCGATCCCTTCGGGACCTTATCCTTCAAGACGTCGGCATTATCTTTGACCCCCTGCAGTTTGTCTTCCATCGTGTCGAGTCTCAGCTTCATCACCCGGTTGAGTTCCTTCGATATTTTGAGCTCCTCTTCAAGTGCGCTGATTCTGGCCAACATAGCTGCAGATGTTTCCTGACCCGCGTGGACGTCGCTGTTGAGCCGCTGGACGTTGTCTGAGATTCTGATCAGGTCAGCTGAGTGTCCGCTTATTTGATCTGTGATCTGACGAGGGATTCGCATAGGCTGAGGAAAGGTTCCTGGAGCGACAGAAGGTGCACGCGACACCGCCGGACGCGTCGCACCCGGAGCGACAGAAGGTGCACGCGAGGACGGCACAACAGTGGGTACATGAGTGGTAGTGCTCTTCAAGGGTGCACGAGTTGTTGGGCGCATCCCAAGGGCCACTGTACGCCCTCGATTGGCTGGGTTGCCAGCGCCAGGGGTGTAAGGTGGTGGTGGGCCCATGCTCTGGCCAGATGGCTGCTCAACAGCTCCTAGGCGGGGGTCGATCATTGCATTCTAGTACCATAGGTGAGCAGTCAGTAATGTACACAAGTGCATATACTCACGTTAGACGACATTTCCACCAGGCTTGGGTTGGATAGAGACGCCAAAGAAGACACGGATGAAGATGACTGTCTGGGGTGATGGGGGCTTTCTGACTGACGGGGAGGGTGCTCCTGCATGGAGGCCATCACACAAGCCAACGACTCGTCTGGAGTGAGTACACTATCCCTGGATTGGGCCTGAGCCGGTTTGTTGCTGAACGGCATCTTGAACTGTCCTCCCTTGGCCCTCTTCGCAGAGCTCGAGTAACCGCTGTCACCGCTTGCCTCTCTCTCTCTCTTTTTGCCGACATCAGGTCCACAAGAAGTCACGGGCTTGTCTGGACGGCCCGTGCTTGATTTGACTCCACCTCGCCCTTTCACTTGCCCTCTGCTCGACCCTCCTCCTCTCGAAACTCCTCTCCGTTTTGTAACCCCACGCGTCGATCCACTTCGTTGACTGGAAGGGTGCGATGGTAGTATCGGGGTGTCCATGCCTGACTAGGCGGTGCTGCTGGTTCCCGTATTCTGTGTAGGGGTGCAGCGACGAAAGTACGTCCTTGAACCTTGACGAGTGTGCTCTCTGCTGACGTCCTGTGTGCTCGGTTTGACTGGGGACAGGGACTTAGGACCACTGGCATCAGACAGTGATGCCTGATTGCGACAGCCTCACTGTTGTTCTGGGTTTTGGAATTCTGGTCAGAGTGCCCCAAGTTTTGGGTGTTTGGAATTCTGGTCATCGAAGCAAGGGCAAGCAGGCAAGGCGGGCGATCGCGCCCTTGCGTTGGGGCGAGCATAAAATCATGAGCCCATCTTTCTTATCACTCCGTTGTCTCTTCCTTCCCCCGTGTTGACGCTCTCACCATCCGCTTGAGCCATGCCCCTCCATAGCACATTCATCCAGGGTAACAGCATTATGCTGAACATGGCCGATGATTCGCGATCTCCCGTTGGTGCACATAATGGCGACTTCATCTTTCAGCATCGCCTGTTCATGGGGTTGTACTGGGGCAACTTGGTAAGAGATATGTCCTTGTATGAGTGGAGCTGACCTTTTCTCCCAGCACATTATTGTGAAGCAATATCAAACAGAGGCCGAGATCGAGCTCGAGCACACCGCTCTCACGCAGAGGGCATACCAGGGCGAGTCCATTGCGAGGTGAGCTTTGACCTTGTCATTTCAGTACAGGTTGACGCATACAGCTAGCCCATTCCGCTACAGGTTCGCTGTCGCAGAGCACCTCACGTATATGCTACCAGAGCCAGCAAATGTCAGCTTGCTTTGTCAAGCATATCCCAACCAACTCTTCTGCATCAAGCCTCGGGTTGTCGACACCCCCAATCGGGTCTCCATCCCCATCACGCGTCGGGTCCGCGACGCCATCCCCAACGCACCTTGAGCCTCTACTCCAGTTATCAATCGCAACGAGCTGGATACCGACAACGAGGTGGATATCGACATCGAGCTGGATATTGACGAGATGGCCCCCTCTCTTGTACCTGCCGAGTCCATGTTGTTCGACAACAGCGACGACAACAACATCAAATATGTCGGCTCAAGTAGCCCCGATCTCCCTCCCTTCGCCGTGCTCATCGACCAAATCATGCGCGAGAGGAGGGAGCAGAACACGATCGTCATCGATGGGTCGGACGACGATCTTGAGCTCAATGCGCGCCCTGCTAAATGGCCCCGAGGATCTACATCTGATGATATCAAGGATAATCGGGCCACGGTGGATGCACATCAATTTGATGTTTTGTATGTTTTATTTTATTTTTCAGACGCTATTCTTATGTTTTAATTTTCTTTCAGTGCATCTACTACACCATGTCAGTTGTCGCTTCCTCCCCCCAACCAGCTCGTTCTCGCTGCTAGGAACATCTTGCGTACCAAATTTGGACGCGTTCTCGAGCCTATCCCCGAGACGTCCGATGTCGACTGAGATCTCCTCCGCTAGTAGATTATCCCCATAGAATTGTTTTGCTATGCTGTGACGTCAATACCTGTTAGTCATCATTGTGCCTGTGCTGCTCCTGTCGCAATCAATGTACTGTACTTTTTCGACCTTAGGTTCGGTCCCCTGTCCACCCCCCCTCACGAACCGAACTTACGGGGGGTGGACAGTCCCCCCAAAGTCAGGCCTTCGAACTTAGATGGGGGGACACACTGTAAAATGTTTAAAAATCCCCTTAAAATTTGCCAATAAAACCAAAAATGCTAAAACTCGAAAATCTTCTAAGCAACCACATTATCTTCTGTAAGACTCGGACACTTTGCGGCAGGTGATTTTCAAAAAATACAATGCAGATATGTGGAGTGAGACACTAGTGACAACAACAGAGACATGCCAACCTCAAGGCCAAACTCTTATGTCGAGTGCAGAACTCACAGGTACAGGCCTAAACCTAAGTGGGAGAGAGGAGAGACTAACATAGTCAGGATGATGTATACACGCACTTGATCATGTCACCCGCGAGATGAATATCGACAGCTGGATTGACATTGATAATGGGCAGTCTCAGTGAGCAAGTATGCGGAGTTCTGGAGGGGCCATGAGTCCATTGGCCTTTGTGGATTGGTGTTGGGCCACCGCCGAGATTAATGCTGATGTAAAGTATCCCATAAGTCCTCAGAGATAATATTATTGTCTTAGTAGCTAGTGTCGAGGACCCTGTTCCAATGTCTGAAGCTGAAGTATGAGCACAAACAGGCACGAACTAGCTGTCCACCCTCGGTTTGACCCCCCGAACCTATAGGGGGGGACAGACGGTTATGGAAGGCGCGTTAAAGCTCCGACTTCCCACGCCACCGCGAACCTAAGGTCGAAAAACTACAGTATTTTTATCGCTCCGTCCCAATCGGATCCTATTTTTATGGCCCCGTCAAATCCGGATCGTATTTTTATAACCCCACCTAATTCAGGTGCTGGCTAAATTGGGAGTTGCCATGTGGTGGTCGGGTGCTGGCTACATTGGGAATTGTCATGTGGCGGTCGGATATTGCCGCTGCTCTTATCAGGCAGACGACTGTCCAATGGATGAACGGGATATAGCTATAATCTTCAATGTACATCAGTAAAGATGAAAAATGCTTGTCGCGCCTTGTACAAGGTTGTGCAACCCTGCACAAGGCAACAATTTGACCATGACACCGAAATCGGCAAGGCAAGTCTATTGGCGCGGCAAGGTCGCTTCGGAGGAGCGGAGTTTACACGGACAAGTGCCTACAAGGCCAAGAAATATACTTCGTTCGGTTGTCTAGGAGTATTCCTAGACCATATTCCGGACCTTGAACATCATCTGAAGCTTGAGAATATCCGAATAGTAAGCATGAGATTGTTTTCACGATTCAATGTTGGGTTTTATGTTTCATGACGCCTTGTCACCTTGTGGCAAGGTGACAAGGCTGGCAAGAAATTTGCGGTTTTACTGATGTATGAGCAGCTGATATGTGGTAAAGTGGCAACACAGCCACATTATAGAATGGCTAGTTACAAGCTGATTGTCGGTATACTAGCTATCACTAGCTGTTCAGCCCGGTTATAAGAACGGTGGGATCCTATGCATTTCATATGGAGTATTTGAATATAATCAGCCATGTAATCGCAGCTACTTTGGAGGTCGAAACTCCGGTGCATAGACCTCTAGATTAGACCCCAGATTACATTAGTGCATACTTGTCTACATAGGGACATGCCTGAAATGACATAAACAGATTTCCAACATAAAAAAATAAAAGTCTGCTTTATATTTTGCCCCAACTTCCTCATGTCAGAATGTTTCCTTGAGACTCTGGTGGGTGGTCACAGTCTGCACTGTTGGTCAATCATTTACTTATCATTGCTCCACCCATTTAATGATGACTCTATAGTATCACAACCTTTCCTTCTTATTCCTGTAGAATACACTCAGCTGCTTCACAGCAGAACCAAAAGTATCACATGGAACAATTCCAGCTCCAATCCACTGGGGCAGTTTCCCTTGGATACTTGCCGTACCAAACCTATGGTCCACAAGGATCAGAGCAGCCCAATCCATCTTATGCCTTATTGCCCGTCCTAGAAATTTGATGAGCCCAAGTTACATGTCCACACCACCTACTCTCACTCACCGATGCTTTGGTTCACAGCACTCATGCACATATTGACATAAAGCTCCGAAGCGGTATTTTTCGCTCCCAGGTGCTTATTTGAAATCTTGCTCTCGAGCTCCTTGACATAACGCAACCTCTCCTGCAGCTCGATGGACGCCTTATTGGCAAATGGCAGACCAACGACCATAACAGCCCGTGCCATGTCATCAGAGAAGTTCAAACCTTCTGAAACTTTGCCCCCGACAACGGCAAAGAGAAGAGCACCCTTTGTTCCGTCATCGGGCTGCTTAAACAGTTAGTACAAGTCAAAGTCATGCCTGAGTTGTCTTACCGTAATTGCAGCAGCAGAGTACGCTCTTAGAAGGGATTCAACACCGGTCGCTTCACGAGGCTCGATGAATAGCTTAAAAATTGTCAGAGCCATTTCCCGTAGGAGAAGAGTAGACAACCTACCTGTTTCTTGCGAGCAAGCTGATCCCATATTCCCGACGTACCCCACATTTCTTTCGCAAAGTAAAGGTAGGTATATGAAGGAAAGAAAACAACCATTCCTCCGGGAACCAGGTTCACGAAATTGGCAATCGTTCGCCCCAGCTCGTTCACCTTGTGGAAACCAGTTATTGTCGGATCGGACGAGGCCAACACTGAGAACCCACCAGCTGCTTATCTTTCTGGTTTCCGAAAGAAAAGTCCAATGTACGCCCGGAAGGACCCTTGCCAACAAGCAAGGCCTGGACATGCGACTGCGGGACAATGTGTCCACACGAAAACGTAGAGAGGCTGGCATCCGAAAGATATGGGAAGAGTTGATTGGTCACATCAGAAATCTAAACATCTGTGAGCGAACGCAGCAGTGCCTGAGAGAAACGCTGACAGGAGACATTGTACCGCCGGCAAGAACTACAGAACGTGCGACGTCCACCACGTCCCGGAATATAGTAGCAGGGTTCAAAAGCTGATACTTGATCTCGGAATCTGACGCATCAGACTCCCGTCCCAGTGAAAGGATCAAACGTCCATCTAACATCGAGAATTAGAGCGGTGTTCCTAAAGTGCAGGATATTTACCTTCGCTGGCCGCAGATATACCCGTGATAAAAGATTCGATGGCATGAAGCGGTGGATTGCCCTTGCCTCTCGTATACGTGCGATGTTGAGACTCTTCAGACATTTAAGCTCAGCAACCAACCGTAAGTAGTGCGGCGTACCTTGCTCTGACTTTCGGATAGCCTCCTTCTCACAGTACCCAGAAACCTTCCGTGCTACCTACACGCCAGAGAATGTCAACTTCAGTACGCGATATCAAAATTCAGCCTACCTTGCTTGTCTTCAAGTACTCGACAATCTCTAGAAGATTGATACCCTCAACTTTGTGACCAAGCGCACAGCCAAGGTCAGGGACCGTCATCGCCTCTTGGGTTGAAGGCTTCGAAGCTGCTTTCTCCTTCAGAAACCTCTGCAGCGAACTCATAAACTCGACGAGGCGCTTCAGATGCAACGCATGTGTAGGCGAGAAACGATTCCTAAATCTCTTATAGTACACCGTCACCTGGCTGAGCGCTGCTGAAAGAGTGCCGAACGAAAGACTCGAGCTTGATATCGACAACAACGTAGGAATGAGATCTATAATTCATATCAGTCCCGAAAAAAAACTATCAATCGAAGAGGAACTAACTGTGCGCCTCGTCGATGATAACAACCTGGCCGGTCAGATCTATACCCAACGCTTCACGAGCAGATTTGAGCAGCAGCAAATTATACGGCAAAGTCACCAGCTGTCAAATAACTAAGTCGAGCAACATTATAACAAACGAGGCGTCACGTACCTCAGCTTGGGGAACAGCCTTTCTAGAACCATAGTAGGGACAAATATGCGAGTTTCGCCCAGCAGCCGCTAATTCCACAATATCTTTGGGCGAAGCCTATATAGTTGTTGATTAGCTAGTGATTCGACAAGTCATGAACTGCCATACTTGCATACCAGTATTTGATCCCGAAGGTCCGCCAACCGGTGTTCTTCTTCTAGAGGAGGCAGATACTGGCATCGTTTCTTGCCCTTCTCTGAGAAGCTTCATGAGGCTCTACACTCCGAACTAAAACTCAAAAATACACACACCTTCAAGAAGCTCGCGACACTTTTCGTCTAAATCTCCGTGCTTTGCTTTAACCTCGTCATTAATACACAGCTGCTTCCTCGAACCCAGCGACGCCGTCCGCCACGGAGTCGACGGCCCTTCGTCATCATCTGATTCTGCCTGCTCTTGCCGTCGCTTCAACGACACCTCTTTCTGATTTCCGTGGTGGGATGGTTCCGTATCTGGTATGCTCGTAAGCTTGAACTTGAGCTTCCGCAGCTCCGGTAATATCTGCGTCAGCTGAGAATGCGTCCGGGAGGCGTAGTATATCTTCGTACAGCTGGGCTCCTGTTCTTCTGGTGTTGTCTTCGACCCAGCTCCCTTCATTCTGAGACAAAATCAGCGAGACTTTTCGAAGGACATGAAACGCGACTAACTTGGCCATGAGAGCGCGTACGGCTGGGGAGTAGTTGTCCCCTTCGCCATCACCTTCGGTATCGTGATCTTCCGGTAGATAATAGTCATCATCCAACTCGTCGTCTTGAGAAGCCTCTTGAGTAGCTCTCTACAAATGTTCAAGGTCTATAAGGCGAGGAAATACCCAGGAACACTCACAGGTTTCTTATGCACCCGCGCCCGCGCCAACTTCCGCAACCGCGCCTCATTCTTCCTCGCCTTACCCAACCTCTCCTCATATTCCCGCTCCCGCTCCTCCAGCTGCTGCTGCATAACCTGAATCGAATGAGCAGAGACCCAACTAGGCACTACACCAACCAATCAGCCAACCACCCGCCTACGCAAACCTCACCCCACACTCACCACTCGTCGACGTCGACGTCGAAGCCTCAAGGAGCCCTTTACGTGCGCGATTCTTCTCGTCGTTCAGCCACGTCAAGCTCGAGCACAGAAGACTCAGCGTCTTTCCCTACAACAACACATAATCAGAGCTTCGTCGAGCGTCCTCCATCACGCGCCGCACCGTGCCAGTCGGGCTCTCCACGATCGTCACCTTGCGACCCTCAATGGACGCATACACATGACGCATCAGGTCCGTTTGTATCGAGTACGGCGGGTCATATGGAAAGGCGGGGAAGGTGTCGGGGGTGGGGAGGGCGAGGTCCATGGCGCGTGGTGGCAGCGAAAGAGAGCGAGACGCGTCGCGTCACGGGTCAATTAGGCATTTAGACTTTTGCTATTGCATTACTTATGCGAGCGTCATCGATGACACTAATCAAACTCACTAATAATTCCTTCAAGCTAGCGTACTTGCATTCACTTCGCACCAGGTCATCAGAATAACACTAATTGAAACAATGACTGTACGTAGTCTGGGCAAAATATACACGAGAATGATTTATGGCAAAGGTAGAGGGGAGCGATTGATTGATCAAGTAGGGTTTAAGCTATCGCGTCGCAGATGGATGGAAACAGTCATTCAGAAACATACATATAGTACAGCAGGGCTGGCGCATGCACAGCGATGCACGCAACGAGGCACAACATCATCGGCCTGCGCCAGGGTGAGAAACAGCACGACCGCGACCGCTGGCTGGCTCGGGCGCCTGTCTTCCGCCTCCCACCGTCGTCGTGTTCTCCTCCACCCCCTGGCTTCTATGTGTGTTGTGCCGCCCACAAGGGCTGCCGATGCCCCTGTATCGAGTGCGCATGCAGCTCATGTGTCCTCGGTAGAGTTCTTGGCGTACCAGTTCTTGAGCCACTTCTCGGCAACAATGTACTCGACCTTTACACTCGAGAGCAGAGGGCGGATCTTCTCAAGTGCCTCACTCTTTGCAAGCAAGCCCTTTGACGGGCTATCGTGATCCTGCAGCTGACCATAATGCTGAATCTTCTCGCACGATGCCTGTAGCTTCGCAAGGCCCAGAGCAGCAGACGAGCCCTTGAGGAAATGCCCTAGCCTCGAAAGCTCGGCGGTGTCATCCTTCTTGCTGTGGAAGTGTACATCAGTCGACAAAATTGTTGCCCAGGGTCAGAACAGGGCGCAAGACCATAGAAGCAAAGGCGACGCACTAGGCTTCGTCCATCTGGCCAAAGGTAGCCTGAGCCTGATCAAAGTACTCCCAGACCATGCCTCGCGAGAAGGAGCGCTCCTCGTCCTCGTCTAGCTCGAGTATTTGTTCAAACGTCTCCATGTCGATGTGATCACCACCCGTCTTGAGACAAGAGAGAATCAGCCACGGAGGAAACTCGGACATCTAGGGGGGGATGCGAGGGGCGAGGGAGAGCGACTCACCTCGTCGACCTCCTCTTCCTCTTCTGTGGCCTTGGTGTCATCTGGCTCCTCCTCTGTTGACTGCTCCTTGACGGGATCTGCGACGGCGGAAGCAGGCTTTGCGGAGGCGAGCTTGGCGATGGGGGGATTTGGTTCAGCGGAAACAGCGCGGGAGACGTGTGGGCTGCCGCTTGGGCCGCGTTCTGGCGGAACGGATACGGATCTTGTGGAGGCAGCGTCGTCGGCGGGCGATGGGCTGCGTGGTTGCTCCTTGTCTGCCGTGCGGGTCGTTGTGAGCGTTGGGGACGTCATGACCATCGGCGAGCGGTGTTGGAGGAGGAGGGAGAGAGAGAGAGGGAGGATTTGTTTGTCGCTTAAAGTGGTAGGGCTGATTATCTCTTGGATCGACCAAGTATCCACTGCCGGACCTGCCGCGTATGTAATTACACACACTACTAATCTTATAACTAATTATCTTAGATCACCCCCTTTGCTCTCAATGCTGCCTGCTCAGACTCCGTGTACCCCAGCTCGCCGAGCACCTGCATCATCCCGACATCAATGGCGATATCCTAAAAAATCAGACCGCTCTTACCTCGGCAGTGTGCTCAGAATGCCACGGGGGCGGCAGCCTCACCGGCATCCGTCTGCCGTTGTACCTAACAGGTGGAGCCACCATCTTGATCTTCCCTGAACGTGGATGCTGCGAACAACAATTCATCAACAGCGCTCCAACACCACCAACTCGAAACACGTACATTGACCTCCACAGCACATCCACGTGCCACCGCCTGTGGGTGTGCAAACGTCTGCTCAACGTTATTGATAGGCCCAAACGGCACCCTGTAAAGAACCCGTCAGACACGGCCCAGGAAACCAAGCCGCCTCATCCAGAAACGCACCCCAGCCCCGTGAAGCGTTCAATCCAATACTCTCGGCTCTTCTCCTTGAGCGTCTCACTTATAACGTCCACGAGCTCCTCCCGGTGAGCCACCCGAGCCGCGTTGGTGGAGAATCGCTCGTCATCTGCCAGCCCGGGTTTCTCCAGCACCCTCTCGCACAGCAGTCGGAACTATCCATGGTGGACGAAGGATGTTTAGCGCGGGAAGCGTTGTGGACGTCATCAGGGCACATGACGGAGCCATACCTGTCTGTCGTTTCCCGCCCCGATCATCAAGAAGCCATCTGCGCACGGGAAGACCTGGTAAGGCACGATGGACGGATGAGCAGTGCCGTGGCGTGACGCCTCTTTTCCCGCGACGAGGTAGTTCGACGCAATGTTGGCCAGCCCCGCGAGCTGAAACATTAATTCAAAACCTTGTCGGACCATATAAACAGATTTACCCACCTGCGTTTCGAACAGATTGAGGTCAACCCAGACACCCTGCCCTGTCTTTTCGACAGAGCGAAGGCTGGCCAAGATAGCGCCATGCGCATACAGGCCCGTCATAATGTCCGTGACGGCGACGCCGACCTTGACTGGAGGGCGGTCAGGCTCGCCTGTACTGGTCGCATGGACGCATGCATGAGCGGTGATGAAAGTGAGAAAAAAGAAGAGACCGACGGACATGTGCATGAGGCCAGCTTCGGCCTCTATGATAACGTCATATCCCGCCGCCTGGCTATAAGGCCCCGTTTGTCCATAGCCTTAGGTTAGAGGAACGAGTAAGAAATCGAGAATTAGTGTGGTGGTGAGAATGTATGCGGACCGGTGATGGAGGCATAGACGAGTCTCGGGTTGATCTTGTGGCAGTCTTCCCACCCCAGCCCCATCGTGGCGAGTTTGCCTGGGATGTAGTTCTCAACGAGGACATCGGAGGAGCGGACGAGGTCGTGAATAATCTTGAGGCCCTCTGGTTTCTTGAAGTTGACGGTGACCGAGCGCTTGTTGCGGTTGGCTGCGAGAAAGTAGGCGGACTCTGGTGGGAGATGCTGGGACTCTTTTGGTGCAAAGTCCTGGGTCGGTGCCGAGGGTGGCGACCAGGAGCCTAATCGTACAGAAATGAGCCCGTCACCAGCTTGTCAATGAAGCAGCGTGACTGACGGGTGTCGTCGCCACGGGAGACCTCCTCGACCTTGATCACGTCTGCACCCATGTCTGCCAGCAACATGGTCGCTGTCGGGCCAGCAAGCACCCTGGTGAGGTCGAGGATCCTTGTGCCCTTGAGCGGGAGTGGTATGCCCTGTGGTCGATGTTCATTGGAGATATATCGTCTGCCCACGACGCGCAGTGTAGAAAGTTGCAGTCTTGTCATACTAGAAAGTTGTAGTTAGTTTATGATATTGTAATGAGGCCGAGATGGGATTTTAGCGAGGATCAAACGGTTGTTGTGTTGTTAGTTATGTTGTTCTTTATATTCCCCACGGCACCTCCTTCTCCTCCTCCCCATGGGCTTTTTCTCCCGCAGGTCAGACGATGGCCTCGACGTCGCCTTTCGCAGCGCCGGCGACCGTTCAATGGTGCAGGCCATCCGGTCTAGAATCGTATGTATTCATTACGCGTTCTGCTCAGGGCTCGATGTACTAGCACTGACGCGAACAACCGCTACGCCTAATTCAACAGTACGGCAAGACAAGGACCAGGGACCGTCCTCCTCTCTCCCAGACTCTCCCCCCTGCTGTCTCAGACTCCCCGCAGGCTCCTCGTCGTGCCTCTCGTCCCCCGTCGATGAAGTCCATGAAGCCGTACGACAAGGACAACACTGTCCGCAAACACACCGTCCGCGACTCCCACTCACAGCCTAACCGTCTGTCTGCCATCGACACTTCCAAGATTGATTCTAGTTCAAAGGCACAGACAGACGCCATCACGTTCGTCTTTAATTTCTCTCAATGTGACTTTGTCTGACGCGCACGCGTTAGTATCACACTTGCACAACGCCTAAATGAACTAGCCACGGCCAATTCAGAGGGTCTGCTCAAGTGAGAGCTCACTGCATACACTCAGTCCACAAACTAAACTACACCAACATCTGCTCAGCGACGACGAGTACCGCCTTCTTCGACAAAACATCTTTGAGCGCCTCGCCAGCGGGAGCACCGTGCCGTCTGAGCCCTCGGTCGTCCCCACCGCTTCCCCACACCCCAAACGTGAGCTGGCAACCCCCTATTTATGTCTCGTTCCATATTCAACCAACTCTTTGTTTCTTCAGCCTCTCCCTCTACACCAGATCTGAAGCGTCTCTCTCATGGCCAGCGCACACCCTCTGTTCGGTCCAAAAACTCCATCTCCTCCGCCATGTCCGGCGTGTTCAAACGCGCCAGCCTCCGCCGCAAAGGCAACGCCTCCCACGACACCTCCAGCGTCTACTCCATGGGCTCCAACGCCTCCTTCCAACGCCCTGGCATGTCCTGCGAGCTCCGGAACGGCTCCACCTCGCGCCCACACACGCCAAACACGCTCAACGGCGACCGCGAATCGCTCTCGTCGCGTCTATTCCCGAGCAACAGCAGCGACCACCTCGGCTCGAGCGCGTACCGCACATTCTCGCGAAGCATGCGCAAGCTTTCGACCTCGACGTCAACACCGCCCTCCTCCTTCCCGGGACGGATACCAGATCCCGTGCCACACGTTCGCTCGCCCTCGACGATATCTGGCGAACCGCTGGACGAAGACGACGAGTACCGGTCCGTAGCCGAGATCCGCAAAGAGATGGAGACGATGGAAGCCGAAGGCCTGCGCCTGCTCGACGCGTTCAACGGGCTCGAGCTCTCCACGCTCACCCGAAATCAGGGCGGAGCAAGCCAGAACGGACCAAACGTTCCGCGCTCGCCTTCCACACTGGGTGTGCATCGAAAACCAATGGACGGCCGGTCGACGCCCGGGCACGGGTCGGACGCCGACATGCGCTCTGTGCACTCGGGCTCGTCGCTCACCACGTCGCACTCGCGCGCGGGCTCGCACCGCACGGTGCCCTCGCAGCGCCTGGGTGTTGTCAACGGGATGCACCCCAGCTCGTCGACATCGTCCACGCGAAAACGGTCCATGTCGTCGCTGTCGTCGCGGAACCGGGGACTGCACCCATCGGCGTCGACGCCGAGTGCACTGCCGTCGTCGCCGCTGCGGAATATGGACAGCGTGTCGAGCATCAACCTGAAGGTGTCGCCGACGTCGGTGGTGGAGGAGGAGGAGCAGGAGGTGTACTCGGCGCTGGAAGCTGAGCTGGGGGAGATTCGGCGGAGAAAGGCGGAGGTGACGCAGCGATACCAGAGTCGACTCGACTACTTGCGTGCACAGCTGAGGGGGGCGGAGTTGAGGGAGAAGTTGTTGAGGAAGTAGATGATACCACTATACCTTACATTATTAATGAGACACTGGACATTATTAATGAGATACACGCTGTTGTTCATTTAGCAGTGGAGTGAGATAGGGGAAGACAAGTGTGAGACGCGATAGCTCCATTTTGGTTGCCAGAGCATCAGAGGCACTTCCTTCTCCTCCTCCCCCCTCGAGGCAGCAACAAGGCCGAAATGAGTGAAGACGCACCCACGCCTCCCCCGGGCGCTTCATACACCAGCACAGCGACGACTAGCACATCGTCTGCAGCGGCTACAACAGGCCAGTCGACTCTCCGCCGTGCCCCGAGCGTCACTAGCTCACATTGGTCAGCGGCAGACACGCCCCAGCACCACTACCAGGGCACCTCCTACTTCCCACATCCAGCAAGGGCCACCTCCCCATCCAGACCACGCAGGCGACCAGACATAGTCAGAAGCATGTCTGCAACCTCGCAGCGCAGGGCACGCAGCAGCTCTGCATCCAGCTCACCCGCAACACCACGCGTCTACCGCGACAACAGCAACCTGCTCACAGAGGAAGACGATGACAATGACAACGACTCTATCACCCCCACAGAGCGTCTCAGTCGCGGAAAGGGCCTCGCCAGCGTCCACGATGGAGACGATGACGACGACGACGACGACAACGGCGACGACAGCTCAGAGAGAGACGCAGACGGCTCAGACCGGGAGGACGATGACCCGATCACGGTCAAAGACCGCCAGTCGCTCATCAACGTCGAGCACCCCTTCGGTCTCCCCATCTGGAAGCCTGCCCTCTACAAGAAGTCTCGCTCCGTCACCCGCCACGCCGATGCAGCCCTGCACTCCCAACCCTCCGCACAGGCAGGCCGCCATCTCTATCCCGGCAATATATTCTGGCTCGTGTGCTTCGGATGGTGGCTCGCTCTAGCCAGCTTTGCCGTCTCCATCGTCCTCAGGCTCGTCCCCATGGGCGGAAAGCAGTACTCCAACCTTGCATACGGCCTCGGCTGGTACGTCGCCTGGCCCTTTGGCAAGTACGTCGAGGGAAGTGGCTTTGGCGGAGACCTCGAGAGCCGTGGCACACAGGCAGACGACCCAGCAGGACAGCCAAGTCAGGCCCCCACCACTCCCCAGGCTGGCAGGTGGCAGTCTCCCCCCTCCACCACCCGGCCGCGCGGTGCTGCCAGCGAACGCACTGCCCTTCTCGAGCCAGTGGATGAGCACGTCGCGACGCTCCCCTGGAAGTCGTACGGCGCCACCGCATCGCCGGGCAGCATCTCCCCAGACGATAAGCCCCACCGCGATGACTGGCTGGGGCGCGGCTTTTTCTGGTTCCTGTTCTCCATCTGCATCGCCCCGCTCATGCTCTTCGCCTGCATCACCTGCTGGGCGTTCATCTTCACCATCCCCATGGCCAAGCTCAACTGGGCCCTTATCCAGTACATCTTCTCCGGCCCAGACAAGATCCGCTTCTGCGCCGCACCCCCCGTCGTCGTCGTCCCCTCCCGCGAGGCCAGCGGCTCCACCATCGGCCCCGACGGCGACAGCACCCCCGCCCAGCCCGAGTACGCCGTAAAGCACCCACGCCTCGCCGAGGGCCAGCTCGCGCCGAGCATGGACGGCCCGCCGACCTCGCGCGTGCTGCTGTGCGTGTACCGCGCGATGGGCTGGCAGTACTACAAGTACACCGTCGGCGGCGTCAACATCATCTTCGTCAACCTCATGCCCCTCGTTTTCTTCGTCATCTTCGACGGCTTCGTCCTCCTCCCCCTCGTCGACCACCGCGAGGCCGCGGGCAAGCACGTCAACTCCTTCCTCGCCTTTCTCGCCTCCCGCGCGCTCATCTTCATCATGAGCCTCGCGAGCGTCATCCCTCTTTCGTATTTCATCGGCATGGCCGTCGCCTCCATCTCGGCCCAGTCCTCGATCGGCATGGGCGCCGTCATCAACGCCAGCTTTGGTTCCATCATTGAAATTATTCTCTATGCTATCGCCCTGACACAGGGAAAGGGCCACCTCGTCGAAGGCTCCATCGTCGGAAGCTTGCTCGCTGGCGTGCTGCTCATGCCCGGCCTCAGCATGTGCGCGAGCGCCGTGCGGAGGAAGGAGCAGCGGTTCAACGCCAAGAGCGCCGGCGTGACGAGCATGATGTTGATCATGGCCTTTATAGGCACGCTGACCCCCACCCTGTTCTACCAGACCTACGGCAATGTGAGTCGCCACCACGTGCACGTTGACTAGACCGATGCTCATAATTGACGAATGGCAGTTTGAGCTCATTTGCGACAAGTGTCCCGATGGTCCATCGTCCCAATGGAAGTGCAATCAGTGCTATTACCAGCACCCGGACCCTGTCGAGGATCCATTCTATCAGTCGACCGTCAAGCAGCTCATGTATTTCTGCGCTATCATTCTCGTTTTCGTGCGTTGATCCTGCCTGCTTTTTGAGGGATTTTTGCTTATGGACATGATTCGATCTAGTCTTATCTTGTCGGCCTCTGGTTCTCCCTCCGCACGCACGCAACCCAGATCTGGCAGAACCCACAGCAGCTCCTCCAGCAACCCCTCGAGCTGCCGAGCAACCGGCTCTCGGTCTACCAACGCCTTCTGCAGCCCGGTCAAGGCCAGGGCCCCGCGTCCCAGGCATCTCACCCCCGCTCTCTCCGCCACAAGCGCAGCAACGTCACCAGCGCCGCAGACAGCGACTTCCCCTCGCGCAGCGCAACACCGACCCCGCGCGCCCCCGACGTCCAAGTCAGCTTCACCGACCGCCGCCCCGCCCCGCCCTCACCCACACTCACCAGGCGCGTCTCGCACGCGCCGCAGGTCGCGCCCTCGCAGCAGCAGGGGATGACGCCCCTGCTCGAGAGCGTCGACTTTGCGATGAAGAACAACAACCTACACCCGACGCAGCTCCCCGAGTCCATGACCACCGACGACTTCACCCGCGCCGTCGCCGTCGCCACCGTCAGCGCGCTCCGCCATCAGCAGACGCTGCAGGGTCCTGCACGCCTCCGCGCGGCCGCTGCGGGCGCCGAAGCCGACACCGGCGGGCACGGCGGGCACGAGGCGCCGGAGTGGAGCCGTGGCACGTCCGCCGCGGTGCTCCTCTCGTGCACAGCGCTGTATGCCATCATCGCCGAGCTGCTCGTCGACGTCGTGGACGTCGTCCTCCAAGGGTCTGGTATCGACGAGAAGTTCCTCGGCATCACCCTGTTCGCTCTGGTGCCCAACACAACCGAATTCATGAACGCCGTGTCCTTTGCGTTGAACGGCAATATTGCGCTGAGGTATGCATGTAATCCTGCCTCTCTTCGTCCTCGTTCTTACGTTTTGCTTCTAGTGTTGAAATCGGCTCTGCATACGCACTCCAAGTCTGTTTGCTGCAAATTCCTGCGATGGTCGCATTCTCCGCCTGGTATGCACCCGAGAAGATGGGAGCCGTGGCCTATACCTTCACGTGCGTACCCTTGTCTACTTTATAACATCCCATCTAAACTGTTTAATCACGCAGTCTGGTATTCCCCCGATGGGACGTGATCGTGATCATCCTCTCCGTCTTCCTCATGACCTATACCTACATCGAAGCGAGGAGTAACTACCACAGGGGAAGTATCTTGATTCTAAGGTGCGTATTCCATACCATGAAAATACACCGCACTAAATCATGTCCGCAGTTACCTCGTCCTTGTGTCAGGCTTCTACTTCGCCCCTCGCGTCGCCGACGACGCTGAACCCGTCGACTGGCGCTCAACCATCACAGCGCTCAAATATTTCTTCGTCTCTCCTTAGGCTACAATATTTATATCAACGCTTCACGCGTTCCTTCGCATTCCAAGCCTGCATACCTCGTGGACAGTCGGACAGTAACGGTGGCATAGGCATCGCATCACGACTCCTTCATGGCCCCATTTTCCTCTTGCTATATATCTGCAATACAACGAGAGTTCTCTGTTACTATCGAAACATGGAATGACGCGTCCTGGCTTGTACTAGTACACATTGATTTGCTTGTTACAGTGACCTGTTCTACCACCCCACACCCCACCTGTTTGTTGTACACTCTAGTGCATGCTCTGCAATCGTTCGAGCACTTTGATGATCCTCTCCGGCGCGATACTCAGCTGCTCTGCCTCTGTCGATCCCTCGAGCACCTTCCGGACGGCCTCTTCGTCGTCGCCGAAAAGTAAGAATCGCTCCAAGAGGTCCCCATCGAGGAAGCCAAATGAAGAATTATCCGCGTCGCTTCGACCCCGTGCATTCTTCGGAGCACGATACCTACAAAAATCATGAGACTTCGAAACACAAGTTAAATGAAGGCTTTACTTGGTATGACTGGCACCACCCGGCTGGGCAGCAAAGTACGTGGACAGATTTCTCTGAAGCGAGGACATGTGCAACGACAGTTCATCAGACATGTCGATCACCACTCCAATGCTGCCGGTCGTGGTGAAGAAGAGCTGCTTAGGCTCTACCTCTATGTCCGACGCCTCAAACGAGCTCAGGGCGCCTGAAAAACGATGTCTTAAATTTGCTGTACCCCTCGCCAAAACGATATATCTCACCTGGAATGAATTTGTTCACCATATCACCAAAGTAGTAGTGCCCGTTCCGTTCCAGTACCTTCCGCTCCGCTCCGTCTTGAAGCGTAAACATAAACAAGTTGCAGTCGTTCTTCAATGCTAGTCAGCACTTGCACTCGTTCGACGGTATCATCGACAAAACGTACATCAGCACCAATAACGTTCCGCTCATCCAGCATCTCCACCGAAGTCGGCCATAATGGACTATAATCCCTAGCAACGTTCTGCAGTGCTCCCCTCTCATACTGCAAAAGAGTCACAGAGCTGATGGCGTCGCCAACCAACAGCAAGTTGCCTCGGGAGACCAAGTTTGCCACCACGTAGTTGTGATTCCACTCGACCTTTTTCACGAATGATAGCGCTCTTGTGTGATCATCTGCTTCAATGCTGTAGATCACCACCTATCAAATCCCGTGCACGTTAATTTGCTCAGTCGTTTAGCAAAAGGAAGAGGAGCTCACAGCGCTATTGACAGCCGCGACAACAAGACCATCAACCGCAGCCACCGCATACACGCATCCCTTGACCTTTTCGGAAGCGCTGACGGCAACAAACGACTCGCCCCGCGAGTAGTCGGGCTCGACAAGCAAGAGACGCCCGGAACTTGATTCATTCTCCAAGCTGTCAATTATCACCGTGCCCACGACGAAGCAATCTTTTGCCTCCTCTGCGACACGAACAGAAAGCGCCTTGATCGCCATTGGTTCCTCGTCGTGATCCAGGACCACCTGGCCCAGCTCTTAAAATGTACGTGTGGTAAGTAAAACGGTTTCAAGCCTAACACCATTCAACTTACTGTCCAAGGTGGTGTCGTTATACAGTTGCACGGATCCTCTCGAGATCTCGGGTTCTCCAACCCTCACGGGAGTGTGACGAACACAGCCGACAGCCAGTGCCTTGTGCACAGGACTGTGGCTGATCCTACGCGGGTTGTCGAGACCAGTATGTATCTGACCACATCTGACTTAACGCCGATTCTTTCCTGAGTAGACGTTACTTACTGATCTAATATGCAACTTCTCCAAATTTTGAACGTCTCCAATGACAAGGCCTTCTGACGTCGCAAGCACGAGCGACGAGCGATAATCATGGGTATGCAGGGATGCAGCAGCAGCAACTTCCTAAAACCAAAAATCAGTCCTTGAACGTTATTGCAATGCCATAAAATACTACCTTCAAAATCAAAGGCGAATGCCGGAGCCGATCCTTTTCCCAGAACAACACCGACGTCCGACTTCCACAAGCAAAGACTGCGGTTCTCCCCTTTGCCTTGCACGTATGAAACGTGACAGGCAGGTTCCCCACCGGAATCTGCTTCTGCTCCACGAGCGCTTTGTCCTTCAATACGAACGTCGCGACGACACCATCTGCCCTCCCAACCAGAAGGTGTGGGGGCGCGTTAGCACTTTCGCCAGCAAACCTATGCATGAGCAGAGAACGAGGGAGCGACGGCAGTGAGACGCTGGCACAGAGGGTTGGGAAAGGACTGCCAAGAGATATGATCTCAACACGATGGGTCTGCCAGAATGCTACCGCCGCCATCGGCGAAAAGCTCTTGGACTGGTCCGCCGGCGTGCAAGAAACAGCAGATATCTCAGCAATGCCACCAGAAGGGTTTGTAAAATCCCGATAGCTGTAAACTCGTCAGTACTAATTTACACAATTATAATACACAGGATACTACTCACCCCACGAGCTTGAACTTATTGTCTGCAAAATTCACCACCGCAAGCCGCCCAAAGCTGAGTCCCAGCACAACTTGGCTCGCATTCGCACTTGCAGCCACAATCTCCCTATCGATCCATCCTGGCTTGCCGCCCGCCAACTGCCCCATCTTGCATACGCCATCCCCGACACGCGTAAACTCCCCTAGGCCTTTGTCGAGATTCAACAAGACCAGCTCATCCGACGTGACTTGAAGAACCAGCGATGAGTCCATGTACGTCAGTCCCTGACCTGCCTCCTTGGGGACCTTCTTCTGGAGGTTCTGCACGACCAAGGTCCGCTTCTTCCCCGTCACGAACCCACTATCGGCAACGTGGGATACCGTGTGCTTGTTGTCTATTCGGAAGACATAAGTTTCTTGTGGAGTAGATGCGACGATGTGCGTGTGTATTCTAGCAAAATCACAAAAATGAAACGTCAGGATTACGCAAAAATAAGACGTAGACCTACGGATCACTGTACAGCGAGCGTACAGGCCAAATGTTCGTGATATTTGGGATGCCTCCAATGGCGGCTGCCTCTTGGAAATCGGCACCGCTCCTAACGAGTCTGATCGACCCCGTATTCTGACCACCTGAGCAAGTCACGACCTCATACTACAGCCACTTTAAATATGCATCCGCTTTGAAACAGAGCGTGCAACGCACCTGGCCACTGTTATCCGGATCCACCAAGGCCGCGTCATATATTGGGGCAATATTCTGGAACCGATCAACCTCAGTGAGGTGACTTCCCCGGCCATTCACAATAAACCCGCGATGTCTCCTGTCGTAATCGCTACCTGGTGAGGAATGGGGTATGTGAGTAACAGTGTGGATGTCGCCGGGCACGGGAAGTGTCGGTGTGTCGGAATCGGATAGTCGCGAAGGAGATATCTGAAGCAGTTGCGAATCGCCGTAGTGTGAGCCGAGGTATACCACTTGATTCGAGAGATATGTCAGCGTCGTAGCAGGCGAAGTCTGGTAACAGGCATTAGCGAAAGAATCTGACTGCACGAAGTTGTAATGATTTCACCTCTCCAAGCGCTATTAGCGTAAGTGACGAATTGGAAGAAATATCCACACAGAGCATGACGAGTCTTCCAAACTTGTCGCCGAGCAAGAACCGTCGCCCTACATCATCGACTTGACACCATCTACAGCCAATGAAATCAGAAAGCCGACGCAGATTAGTCAGGTCTCAAGACTTACGCGCTGACTTCTGCCCATGGCCACTCCACACTAGCCCTCGCCTTCTTTTTCTTCTCCTTTCCCTCATCCTTCATGACCTCGTCCGAGTCCGCACTCGCCTTCTTCTTCTGCGTTCTACGCTGCTTTTCCTTTTGCTTGCGCTGCTTCTCCGCCGGCGCCAGATCATACAGAAATATCTTGGAGCCTCCGATAACCAAAACCCCACCCGCAAAGCTCTCCTCATCTTTCTCCGATATGGGCACGTGGATGAGCTTGGGCACCTCCTCGTCCACGGAGAAGTGCTTGGCCGCGAGAGGAACGGAAGGGAGCACGGCCGACGGCAAAGGAGACAGCTGGAGTTCCTTGAGGCTCAAGTCGCGCGTCAGGAGCTGCAGGCGCTGCTGGTAGTCCACGTGCAACAAGGCGACGGTGAGGTCATCTGGGGACGGCAAGATGGTAGCCAGGCTTAGCAAGTTGAGCTCAGTAGTGCTGTACAAACAGATCAAGTCAAAGTAGATAGGGAGATGTTGTAGCACGCACGAGACATCGAAATCACTATCATATTCCCCATCGTCAAGTTGTACCACCTTGAGCTTTCCGGCGTACGTGCTAACTATCGCGAGTTGGCCAGTGGGATCTACAAGCAAGTCGACGAAGAACTCGGCTATTCGACCTGTGCGCTCGGCGAGGGAGAGTTTCTTGGTGATACGCAGTTCGTTCTTCCGCGATGTGTGGGTAGTGTAAGTGATGAAGACAAGCTCGGGCTCAGGGTGGTCCGTCAAAACGAGAAGGTGCATTTCTGTACTCTTCTACAAAGACTCTGTGTCATCTCCCTGTACAGCAGCTAGGAGAGATCCGAGCAGATGCACCTTGATAGGGACGACGCGTACCGCCCGGACCCTCCCCCATATCTCCAGGCCATCCTCGTACTTGAGCCCTTCTGGCTGAAGTGAGTAGATATCGAGTTGGTTGAGCTTGGCTATGACGAGGAACTCTGAGCGAGCATCATCGAGGAGCTGCCACTTGCACGATGCTAGGACCGAAGAAGAGGGATGGAAAGTGGTGACGACCTTCATGGCATGAGTATTGACAAAGAGTTCCTCGCACGCTCACAAGCCTCGCGCTCACACTCAGGGGAATATCTAAAATGCGAACGCGTCATATGGCCGATCCACTTACCAATGTCATATTCGTCTAATCAAGCTTACTCTAATGATTACTTCCGTATTCTTACAAGTTCCCATTACACCAAGCACTCATAGTCCTGCAGGATGCCCAAGCGTTTATCCTATTTGCATTGTTCCATCGGCGCCCACGATCACATTCGGCGCATCCTGACTTTCTCCCTGCGGTCTAATGAACTTGTCCAGCATAGTCGGTTCCGCACCATCTTCCCGTTCACCTTCCAGAGCCTTTGGTTTCCGCTTCTGCCCTGGACCAGTTTGGGGCATTCCGATGATTTCTGCAAGAGAGCCGTTAAGTTATTGTCCTGTCGGCTAGCAAAGTAATACAGTACCATCGAGGAACAAGAACTCATCAGCTCTTCTGACAATAGTTGCTTCATGCATAGACTTAGTCGCGGAGGACGTCAATAGTCGGTCATAGTAGCTCACCTACGTCCCGCTGCTGCACCGTAGCTCTCCGTTCCTGCTCAGCAAGCCGGTGGCATGCCCCCGAGAGCCTCTTGATAAACTCCTCAGTAGCCAGAGATATAAGTAATGTCGCATCTTTAGCGACTATTGGTAGATCCTGTCGCCTAAGTTATCAGCCCCCGTAAAACGCGTCACATGAACTAGGATTCATAGAGACACGTACCTTGTCCGCTTTTATGATCTTCTGTACCCTCGAGAACGGCAAGAGTGACTTTCCCGGATCTCGTTCCCGCTGAGCAGGGGCCTTGTCCTTCTTGCTACTGCTCTTCTGTGCAGGCCCCGCCTCGTCCGCGCCATCCTCAAACGCTTGCGTGTCTTCGCCAACGAGATCCGGTTGTGACTGAGTCTCCATGGCTTCATTGGCCTGAGAAATGTTTTCCTCGCTGATCATGTCGTGGTCTTCTGTATTTGATTGTTCCATATCGGCCAATATCCGGGTGTGTGGAAGAGAAAGCTTGAGCCCCGACGCGACGCGTCTCGCGTTTACCCAGAGCGTGCCTACTGCACCCGTCCTGCAATACAAAGTCACTCAGAAAGATGCCCTTTTTTGCTTATCAACCCCTTTCTTTCCTACCGCGTCGCGTCCCGACTGTCTATCCGGACCTCGACTTCAAAAGCACCGGTGCAATTCGGCCGCTTCAAGTCACAGCTAGAATTGACCCTGTCCTGATTCTGCCAGTTTCACGCTACACTCCATGGATACCGACGCTGCCCAACAATTTGATTCTGCAGGTGATCTCAATGAGCTCGACATAAAACTCAGACAGTTTCAGCTCTCTTCCAAACCTTCTAACGGGAAAGTAAGCCTTGCTCAGCTATAATTTCTACGGGCAAACATTCAACTGATCAACAGCATGTAGCTACTTCCTTCTCCATACTTACCTCCTGAACTGAACATCTCCGAAACACCCCAGAATAAGCCGCCACGCAGGGCATTCTATGGCTTCGCTGTCTCCACTGACCTCATGCTTGACTACGCCCTGCGCTGGTACGAGCGTATCCTCACCCGCGAGAGCCTCAAGGACGTCGACCCTTTCTGGGTTACTGACATCTGGGCGGGTGCTGCTCACCAACATCTAGAGCTCGATCCAGTACACCCGAGGTTGAACGTTCCCATGGTTGAGACGCCCGACGGACTTCAGCCCTGTGTCGCCATCTACGACAGCTATGATATGATTCGCTGGAATTTGAACGAGGAGGAAGAGACGGAGTTTCTCGAGTTCATCAAAAGTGAGCTCGGATTGCCGGAGTCGCAGGAACCATTGTGGTACTACTGCCACGGCCGGTGATATGTGTTGCATTGTTCGTTCGTGCTGGTCGCACTTCCCAGTGCCTTTCTTTGAACGCTCTGTCTGCCATGTGACCACTAATTTTTTGAGCATTCTCATGTCGAGTGTAATGTTGCGTTCTGCTCCTTGTGCCATACTGCCTTAGCCCCCGCGGCATACATTTAATATGCAGCATGTTAGTCCAATTGCCGACGGCTTGCATGAGGAAGTTGGGTCGGCGAGGAATACTATTGCGACTCGTGACGCGTCGCGTCGCGTCATCTGAAAATGAGCGTGTCGCGTGAGAAGCCATCCACACGTCGCACAGTTGGATTTTTGTGTGTGCACTCAGACTCTGACCGTCACTCAAGTACTCACACCTTTGCTTTAACTCTTCCCTAAACCCATCAGATTGGCCTGTGTGCACCATGGATAGCGATAACGATCATGGTGTCTCTGCAAAGGACCTCAGCGACAGACTCGAGCAGATTAAAATCTCGTCTGAGCGTTCTAACAAGAATAAAAATCCCGAGAGGAAGCCGGTAGGTCTCGCTTTAGCCACATCGCAACTCTCTCCACAAAGCATAGGCTAACCGGCAATACGCAGCTGCTGCCTGCTCCTTACCTACCACCTCAATTGAACCCTGCCAAAGCCCATCTCTATAATGTCAGGCGGCCGCGTAAAGCATATTATGGCTTTGCTGTTACGTCGGACTCCATGGTTGACCACGCCCTCCGCTGGTACAAGGGCAGGTTCACTCGTGAGGAATTCGACCGTGCCGACCTTAGCCACGTTGAGATCATCTGCGTGGGGGCTGCTGCAAAGCACTTGGAACTCGATACAGAGCACCCGAGACTGGAGTTCCCTCTTGCTGAGACACCCGATGGATTGAGGCCATGCATTGCTATATACAACAGTCACAAACGGAGCGACTGGAATCTGGACGCAGAGAAGGAGAGGGAGCAAATTGATTTTATCAGGAGCGAGCTCAGATTACCAGAGACGCAGGAGGCAATGTGGTATTTTGCTAACTGCCGATGAGCCTACGTGTGACACTGTTGCTACGTCCCTTCTATCACTACACGTAAGAACGTGACCTTGGGTTTGGACTGTCAGCGTGAGCGCTGGCGTAGATTTTCTAAAACTCGAGAAGCATTGCGTCCAATTGAAAGCGCGCCTAAAGACAATAGTAGCGAGAATATATAACACATTTTGCAACGAAACAAAGACGTTCACAAGCTTATCATACAACGACTACACATTGCAATTGATCGTAAAGATTTACACTGCAGTACAAAGATATCACAGATCACCCATTTACGCCCAAAAGCTGAAGAAAATCCAAACAGCTTGTATCCGGTCAACGAGGGTACTGGCAGGGTAGATTGGCTTCACGGCTGATAGGTTTGCTCACTTGAGCCTGCTGCTCTGTCCGTCAGTGGGGTACGAGGTCTTGAGGGTACAGGAGTGTTGTGAGTGGAGGGTGCTCTTGAGCTGCGAGTGGAGGGTGCCCTTGAGTTGCAAGTGGAGGGTGCTCTTGAGTTGCAAGTGGAGGGTGCTCCTGAGTTGCGAGTGGAGGATGCTCTTGAGTTGCGAGTGGAGGGTGCTCTTGGAGTGAGAGTACCCTTTTGTCAGGTTACGAGCGGGTGGTGAGTTGACTGACTGAATAAGATAAGAATAAACTCAGTCCCGAGTGTCGAACACGAAGACTGCATTGTTGTAGCTAACCTGAATAAGATAAGAATAAACTAAACTACAGTTAGCTATGATATGGAAATAACGAATGTGGTAACATACCTCAGTCCCGAGTGTCGAACACGAAGACTGAGGGAAAAGACTACGGCGGCGACGTGCGTTGACGAGACGCCCGCTTACATAAGCTATCGGAAGGAATACTACCTCGGCGTACTCTAAACTATGCAAACGTACGATATAACAACACGCCCACTCGGCGAGTGTAGAATTCAATCAAATAAAATACCCATGCCTGATGAGAAACGAACGTGCTTCTCACGAGAGAGAGCTTTGGTGAGTACATCCGCGACTTGTTCATTGGTCGGAATGTACTGGGTATCGATGTCGCCGTCCTCGTAGCGTTCACGAATGAAATGATACCGGCTGATACCAGATGGCGATGTGCTTCGTGCGGGAATGGAGGACAGCGTTCTTGATGAGAGCGATGGCCGACTGGTTGTCAATGAAAACAGGAGTCGGGCCGGGCTGGTGAACGTCGAGCTCGGAGAGCAACAGACGAAGCCAAATCGCCTCTTTGACGGCTGCGGTGGCAGCCATGTATTCCGCTTCAGTCGTTGACAACGCGACCGACGACTGCTTCTTCGACGACCAGCTGACAGCGCCACCAGCCATTACGAAAACGTAGCCAGTGACGGAGCGTCGATCCGTCGCGTCTGCAGCCCAATCGGCGTCGACAAATGCCGTCGGAGCAAGATCTGCGTCGCGCTTGAAAATGAGGCGCGCCGCGGATGTTCCTACAAGGTAGCGGTGGACGCGTTTGAGCGCCATGTAGTGCTGGAAAGCCGGGGTTGCCGAGTGCTTGCTGAGAACGCCCACTGCAAATGCGAGATCTGGGCGTGTTGCGAGCATCGCATAC